GCACGAACAGTTCAATGACCCCTGTGTGTTCTGAAGTCACTGAAAAATGAAAACAAATGTTAATCTGGCTTTTGAGTTGGACTCTTTTTGCTGATCTATACTTATGGAGCGCATTAGGGCCACTTACGAAATCAGACTGAACTGTGATCTCTGACCTAGCTCCATTTTCAAACGGCCTTGCTTTAGTTTGGAGGAAGCCTAGAGCTGCCTCTGGCCTTGCAGACCAGGGGCTCTCATGTAATTCTCACGTGGTACCTACTACCGTTCATGTGCAAGTTACATAAGCCAGAACAATCTCTAGCACACATCAATGGCAAGGGTCCAATTTAAAAGTAGATGGCTGGAGTAGGTGTTATTAGTACCCTGTGTCAAGCTGTGATTGCTCACATATGGCTACAAGCTGAATAGGACCTTTGATTCAGGGCAAAGAAAGAAAAAGTTGGTGCTAAAAAAAGAGAGAAGATGAAGTATACTTGATCTTACAATTTTCTAATTTGACATAGCTGGATTAAGAATAACTTTAGCTAAAAATATAAATAAGTTGGATGTCATCCATTTACTGATATATATCAGCTTCTGGACTGCTAGGTGCTCATGAGTATAAATCTGAAATCCTAGTTCAGGAACATTAAATCCACATATTCAAAAGCAAACTAGTTGTTTGTAAAAGGCTTCTGATGAAGAATACATTCTTCTTAGTCATATGACAAAAGCAAGAGAAATATTTTTTCTATAAAACTAGCATTAAACAGCTGTAGTGGTCTTGCATTTAAAGGCATCATTCTGAGCCAGAAAATTTTCATTTCTTTCTTTTTTTACCCTTCACACTGACCTTTTCTTTTTCATTGCCTCTAATGCAAATAAAAAACAGAGGTTTAAGCCAGCATTGTTGAGATCTGAGGATTACCATTGCTCTATAAATGTGACTATATGAAGACTGATATGAAATTTGCCCTTTTTCATTTTTTTTCTAAAGAGTCTCCTGGGGTAAAAAGGATATATGCAGGGTTAGTTTCTGTTTTATTATTCTGTTTTACGTGTTACTGTAAGACTGCCAAAAAAAAAAAAAAACATTGTGTGTATATATATATAATGTTGTGCAAGGAAAAAAAAAAAGAGATAAGAGGGATGAGACGCAACAGCTCTATTAAAACTTATAAAATAAAATGAGCATTCACATGTGATTCTATTTTGAAATATTCAAGTGTTAAAACAGAAGAAAAGCCTACAAGCATCTAATTCAGGATGGACCAAATACACTCCTGAGCTTACAGGTGCATAAAGTCCTGATATACTAATGCACTGTAATTCCCTATTGGTACACTTAAAAGCTTTGTGCAATTTTCTCTGCTACAACAGGGTCCCTCATATGAAAAGGTTGAGCACTAGGGGTCAGAAATCACTAGATATTCTGTTTTATAATACAGTAATTGTTCACAGATTTCCTGCATACTTTGAGTACAATTAGTTTCAACTGGTTTTCAAGAACATGATTTGCTTTTTTGCTTCTGAGGGCATCACCTAGCATTGTACTTGTAACCATAAAACTAATATTGCTCTACTTCCATTTTTTTTCTTTCACGATTTCAGAAATCGAAGTTGACTGAAAATCTCATAATGTAGCAGTTAACAATTCTATTTGGAAAAACAAAAATCATACTTTTCTTATTTTTCATGACTTCAGTGCCATTTGTATGGATTTGGTCTATGACTATAGTCATTCGGAGGATCAAGTTTTTATACTGTGATGGGTACACATGTTGGCTGGTATTGCAAGGTCAGTACTTACTAGAGATCCTAAGTATTGTCTTATTACACTTAATAGAAAACACTACAAGGTGTTCTTAAAGGTGACAGCCCTAAGTAGCCAGATTAGTTATAACTGTATATTTACCTTCAAGCTACGAAATTTGGTGAGATTGATGGAGGAAAAGCTAGCATGAAGTGAGAGAAGAAAGAAATCAAGCTGTAAGAGCTGCACATCACAAGGACTGCTCAAAACAAAGCCACTTCATCTTAAGGATACTAAAATTAATATAAACCTGTCTACTCTTGAGGTTCTTAACTTTCTTTCCTCACTCATATTTTGAAAACTATGGGCAGTTTTCACAAGTTATAGAGCATCAGTGCACTGTGCAGGTAACCTGACTCCTGAGAACTGCATAGATCCATGACAGCCCAAATTCCGGACACACTAACCCAGACTTCCTAGAGCTGAGCAGACTGCCAGCAGGAAAAGAGTGTAAGATACACTGTTTTTGTGAAAAATCCTAAATATCAAAGGATTCATTTACTGGAGCTTAAATTCTTTTGCCTTTGGCAATGGGAAGAGCAAAAGAGGATTATCTGATGTAATTTTGAAAGGGGGTGTCAAGCAGTATTTTGAAAATCTATCCATGAGGAAACCTCTCCCACTGAGTGTTTTCCATCTAAATTCCTGGCATGCTTTAAAAATTGTTTCACTTTTACTTAAACTTAATTCTGAGATGATTTTGTGCATCTCCTCTTCCTTTTTCCTTTGCTTTACTTTTGTCTGTCTATAAAGGGAGAAACTTCTGACTGATGTAACCTTGTGCATGTCCCTTTTGAGCTTCTCTTCAAGTTTTCAGCCTGGGTCCCAAATATTCATTTAATCTGTATACATTATTTACATAATTTATATAACAATTAATTTTGTATTATACTAATAATACCATTATAATAATATAATGCAGCATTAGCAGGGCAATTTAGCATCAAATAATGCAAAAATGTTAGGACTTCTAAGAAGTGGGTTTTTCAAGGACATCTTAATTACTTTGGTGGTTTTGGATGGAAGGCAGTGAAATGGGAGCTGAGTAGGAAAAAGGACTCTCCTTCTCCACTAAATTAGTTAGCTTTAATTATTGTCATGGCTCTTTTTTTTCCAGAAGAACAACAACAACAAAAAAAAAAACTATGTAACAAATGGCTCTGCTTTGAAATTGTTTCTTCTGTTTGTTCTAGCCTGAACTTTCACAGTTTGATATTCTTTCACTGGATAGGACTGTAATGTTGCTTTCTTGAGCAGGGGCTATATAAACATCTCTTTACTCAGATTGGTGTTTTTCAAGGTCAGATTCTGAGTCTGCATCTAGATGCCCTTTTCTATTAGGCATTGATGTTGGGACCAGACTATATTTTGAAGGTACACATACAAATTGACCTTCCCCTCACTTCCCTGTAGAAGCATCATGCAGATGCAGCAGATACTCACAGAGGTAGAAACAGGGCATTCCACCGGAGTGAGAATGAAGTGATGGGAAAAGACCATGTTATTGTTGTTAGCTCTGTTACCTGATCAACACAAACAAGCTCTTTGATTTTAGTAGAGGTTCTTTCCAAAAGACACCCCAGAAAACTGAAATGCAATTATGAATTCCACTTCCTAGGACAGTATGCTAGTGTAGATGGGATCACTGTCTCATCTAGGGACAAGATTTACCTTTCACTGTCCTGAGCACAAAACAGAAGTGCTTCAGATGTTGTCATTTTACATCTGTCATATCATAAAGATTCTCAAAATATGATACTCTCAGAATATGACAGAAAATATAGGTCCAGGTTTTTCAGGAGAGGGAGGTTGGTTACAGAGAAGAGCTTGTTGGTTTAAGGGAAATAGAGCATCAGAAACAATTTTCAGAAAATAGAAAGATGAAAAAGAAATGATGAAAAGGAAGAAAATGTGCATTATCTTCTCTATGTTTTAAAAATGCCAGTTTTCCATATTGAGCATCAATTGCTTCATGTTAGAAAATCATTGATTCCACACCAGCACCAGCATCTTTCTTCAGAAATATTTCAGAGTATTTGTTGAATTACTTTGTTTGGTGAAATTTATGTCAGCTATTTGAAGAACTATCTTTTATGTATTTGTACAATACCTAGCATGAGGTATTTGTACTTGTCTAGGCAGATAAATGGAGTTACTAGGTAGTGTCACCTAAAATGCAAATATCAATAGCAACAACAACAATAAATCTCTCTGTAGTGAATAGGATTTTGCTCTGAATCAGAAGTGCTTTAGCTTCACTTTTGAAAAGTTAGTGTATGCACATCTAGTCTTACAAATAGGATATTGCAGGTCTTACAGCTCATTCTGTTTCTGCAGACTTAAAAAGTAAAGAAGAAAAGAAAAAAAAAATGACATGAGTCAAGAGCCAGACTGCAGTTATACAGACTTCCTGTGTGACACTGAGCCAGCCAGTTCAGCTTTGACCTCTAAATAACTTAGGCAACAGCCTTGCCCCTTGGCCAATCTTGCTTACTTCAAAAGCTCTGAAGATTTCTATGTGTCGACAGCTCAAGTTTGGAGCAAAACCAGCAGATTTTAAAGAGCATCCTCCTAGTGTTAAGATTAGTAGGTGCTCCCTACAATCTAAGATGCTGCTTGTCATTGCTTTGCACAGCTCCAAATTTACCTAAGCAGCAAACTGCTCTCACAGCAATAAAGAGTGACCTGACCATGTAATTGTGACTGCATATATATATATATATATATATATATATATATTTTGCTTTGCCTTATCTCTGCACTGTTCACAGACCACTGCCATGAGCTTATCAGGTGGGAGCAAAGTTCAGTCAAAAATATTTGGACTAGAAATTAAAGAATTCATGACCAAATAGATGTAAGAAAATGGTAAATAATAATGCTCTATTCAAATTCATGAAACATATATATATATGAGCATGTTTATGCATGAATGTGCATATATATCTGTGTGTGTGTGTACACATTCACTAAAAAGCTAGAAAATATAGGAGATCATATTACAAAATATATGGTAAATAAGAAAGAGATTAAATAAGAAAGTGATTCAAAATCACTGCCACTGCAGGATACTAGAGCAAGTATTTTAAGTAAACTTATGGACTGCTCCAGAAGAAGCACCTTAAGGAACCATATTCCTAAGGCATAATTCAATTGTTGCATCACCAGAGGCCAGCCTTTCCCTGAAAGATTTCATAATTCATAAGGTTTCATATGCAAAAAAAAATAGTTCAGATCAAGTTTATTCTTCCTTTCAACTTCTGTTCTTCAGTTCATATATGTAAGCTCTCTGAAAAAGATAAAAAGAAAGAGAAAAACCTCCCATATATGCCTCCACCTCTGGCATCAATGTCAGACATTGCTGCAAATACTCTGCTTGACACAGAGTGTCCTTGAACCTCCAGGAAATCAAATGGACTCTGGAAACAATGACAGCTGCAACTATAGATGAGTGAGGACCACAACTAGCTATAATTTTTGCACAGTCAGTCGAGACACTGAGAATTCATCCACAAAACAATCTGGGCCTTCAGGCCATCTCTCCCTCATCTTATCTCCTGGTCCTCACATTAACATCGATCTTTATTGATTTAATTCCTCGAATGCCCCAAATGAGATCACTGGTAGTATTACCATATAAACTGTGATAAGAGATTGTCTTCATTCTGAAGACACTGCACTATCAAGAAGTGGGAAAATACAACTGGTTTTGCAAGCCAAGATAGAGGCATAACTAGATATAAAACTTAAGTTTCCCAGCTCCTCCCTATGTGGCCTAAATTTGGCTTTGTACTGGAGTTCATTTGACACACCAGCCTACCTGAACTGTAAAAGCTCTGTGTTAATTCCATCTGAAAGGAACAATGACAAACGTCTAATATTGCTTGCTGAATCACTATAAACACTGGATGCCCTACTAAGGCAAATGGAGTTGCAAGTTCAAGCTGTGTGCACAAGATTCTTTGGGTGAATGATGCGCATATTTGCTTAGTTAAATGGGCAGTTATGCAAACTGAAGGGATAATTTCATGACCACAAAGCTGACGAAAATTCCGGGTCTGGAAAGATAGTCTCATGTTTTCCAGACTCTTCTCCCAGGCAACAAGAGTTGAGGCCAACACCCCAGGTCTATGTTGTGCCTAAAGACTAGAGAGTTCTTCAAAAACTGCAAATTTGCCCAAAAATACAATTGCATGAGTTTGAATGGAAACAATGATGAAAGAAGAAACTACAGAGAGCAGAGTTTGGAAAAAAAAAAAAAGAATCGTAACAAGATTCATTTCAAAAGGGTTCAGATGACATTTTTTACATATTTCTAGCCGTGGCATGATGGCAAAGCTTCTCAGCACTGCTCCTGTCTTGGCAAACGCTCAGCAATCCTCCCTCGCATCACCTCTTCCCTTTCTGTTAGCAGCATCTGGCTGCAGCATTTCCACCCCTGCAGCTGCTCACAGGGATGGGTGGAGCAGGAGTGACACACAGGCACCGGGAAGCCGAGACAAGACAGGAGAATACAGGCCAGGAAGAGAAGTTGCAAGGGACAGGGAAGTCATTTGCAATTATACAATAGAGATGATACTGAAAGAGGATGGAAAGACAGATGCATGTGGTGAGAAGGCTGCAAACCTTGCAAAGGACACAAGGAAGAAAGTTGTGTCCTCTGCCAAACTACAGAAAGCTCCAGACTGATCTCATCATGAGGATAGTCAGATCACCAGCTTTAACACATAGAGGATGCAGAGATACTCTTCTGTCTGCACTGTATCAGGTTCCAGTGGCATTTTTACAGGACAAAGATCTCTAAAGTGCGCATTTGCCTGTGTGATTTCCATCTGCTGATGTGGTGGGCCAGCAAGTTAATAAGAACATCAAGAGCAGCCTCTGTACAGTGTTTTCACTCTTTCCGTGAAACAACTGCTCATAATCCCTTCAAAAAAAAAAAGGAAAATCTGACTGCTGACTCGGAGCAGCTATAAACCAAAGACCTGCATGCCATGAACACACAGCCTTACCGTTATGTGCATGAGCACAAGTTCTTTCATAGCACCAAGCATTTGACTTCAGGTAAAATTGAATTGCAGATTAGCTCACTAGAGAACCACAGGTCTCTGTGGGGCTTTGCTTCCCACTTCGCTGAATGATTTTTATCTATCCTTGCTCAAGCTTTTCTCCCTCTCTCTTTCCTTCCCTTGGCCTCTTAGCCTCATACAACACTCCAAGAGGCTAATATTGGTGAATTGATTGTGTCAGTGAATGCTCTTACCCTTTCTCAAGCTGGGATGATCACTTTTCTCCAAAGCATGCTGAACACTTCACAGATCACTCCATACCTAATAAACAGCCATCACTGTTTTTGAAATGGAAAAGTCCAAAGTAGCTACTGCTGCTCACTCATATGCCTGGGATGCTCTTGTTATAACAGCCCAGAGTGAATTGTAATGAGTAAAACCAATACAACTTCTTTCTGAGAAGGATTTCTTTCTTTCTTTGTGATGTCTACATGTTTCCCCTCCTGTTGCTAGTTAGCATATGTCATAAAATATACACTATTAGAAGCTATGGCAATGACCTGGTCCTTCTGTTTCTTTTTCAGAACAAGCTCATGATATAAAAATATTATGAATTCAGAGCATTGTGAAAATAGACTAGACTAACATGTAGGTTAGATCCCATTAGACAAAAGGAGCTATGGATACTAGAATAAATATGAGGAGAAAGATGCTTTAAATATATCTAAGTCCAGAACGGAGTTTTTCTGAGTATTGCAAATACCATCAAAATCCACACAGATTACCTGCCTTTTGAAGCCCTGCATTCAGCTGCCTCAACACTCAAGGGTGGTCCTCCTGTTGTCCTGAGTGCTGAAGCTGTGCCAGCCCAGTCAGCCAAGGAAAATGGAGAAGAAACAGCTCCCTTACCCCTCATCCCCAGGAGTCCTCACTCTGTCACTAAAGAAGAGCATGTGTCCCTGCCTACACCATAAGCTCTTGGAAACCCCCCTTGAATAGTGTGACTTTGCATTATCTCCTACTCAGTGGCTAAATGTCACACTTTGGCATTCTACCTCTTTTTTAAGCTTTATTTCTCCTCAGTTGTGGTGGGATTTTCGAGGTAGCAGTGGGATGCTGACCTGGAAAGAATGAAAATGATAGAACATGCTTGCCAAGCATATTCCAAAGAACTCTGGAAAATCATGTTTTGTTTTTATGTCTATACATTAAATTAATCCCTCCAGTAAGCCAGGTTTGCTCAAGAATGTGATTCTGAAAAGGAGTGGCAATTAAAATTCTTTATATGCTTTCCACTCTTAGAGTTGAAGCCAATGCATCTTAAAAATAAAAGCAAACCACAAACACATGTGCCTTCTGAGAGCATCTGATCACCTGACTTCAATCAATGAATATTTATTTATCTGAACCCTCTTTTTCAAAAGTATTCACTTCCATAACAGGTTCTTCTAACCTCTTTATCAGGATACCTACCAAAGAGAGGGCAAAACCTAGTCCTATCTTAGTGATTATCACGTAGCTTCTCTTCTCAAATCCCACACATCTGAACTAAAAGACTATATCAACTGTTGCAATTACTGGAGCAGGGGGAGAGAAGAGAAACAAACTCTTGTTACCATTAGTGCAATGGTTGGCAAAACAGCTAGGAACCTTTTTCCAAGCTCTATGCCCTATCTATTCCCTTTATTGGTTTTCCATGACCTTAAGCTGTCTATATTTAAAATAACACTCTGAAAAAGGCTGCCATTGACCTATGACTTTAGTCAAGAAATTGAATCAGATTTAACCTCTTTTTTTTTATTTATTTCACAGATCAAAAGATTTCCACCTGATGAGTTTTAAATGTGTTTTAATAGATGTTTTTACAAAAGAAAGGGACTGTCCACTGAATCTCAGTGAGACAACTACCTAACTCTCTTACATTCCCTCAGAAATCCCATCCTTAACCAGATAAAGTTCTACATTCACTGAGGAATGACATTCACATGGCTGTTTGATTCCAGTCTTTGTTAATAAAGGACAGGCTCAAGGACACAGGGACTGAACCATAGGAAAATTTACTGTGGAAGTTTTCTGTCAAAATTTCTGAACAAAATGTTTAACCAACATTTTGTGCCCAACTACAGAGATGAGAACGTGAAGTCAGAACAGAGACGTGAAGTTAAAAGACAGCTGCTGGGACAAGAGCTATTTCCTATTCATATTTAAAATGAAAGATATAGTCTTCTTCCTGGATCTCAGGGCAGAACAGAAGAGGAATCAAAAAGTTGGAAAGTAGAGCCATGCAAGGAAGGAGGACACAACTTAAAACTTTTTTTTTTTTTTTTAAATCAGTTTAGAAGACACTCCAAATCTGTTTCAATAAATGTTTTAGCTCACATGCACTAGTTCATTTAGCACTATCTGGAGATGGCAGCTACAAGGTGAAATAGTAAGAAGGGAAAAATGCAGTCATGCCTAAAAATAACTCTAAATATATAATAAATCTGCAGTCTCAGTTCTAGTCTTCAGTTTTGTTTAGAGAATTACAAACCTGGGTTTAAGGAAACTTGTTTGCACATAGGAAGAAGTATAAATATGCTTATAAAATAAACATAACCTTTAATCTGCCTGCAATCCTACTGAAAACTATTCATAAATCTACACATATATATATGTGTGTGTATGTGTGTAGGTAGAGAGCATATGTAGCCACAGTACCAGAACAGTATCAGAGCTTTCTTCCCTGGTTGCAAGGAGATGGATGGATGTTTAGCAACATTGTTTTACTAATAAAAGTAAGTGCCTTACAAATCACAGACATTTAGCATGCATCCATGAGGTACCATAAATAAAGTGTAAAGAAAGAATTGCAATTATCTTGGAAACTAGGTCCCCCAAAACGTAAAAATTGCCTCAGAATGAAAACAAAGCAAAACAAAACAGAACAACCCTACACAAATAGCACCTTTTTTTTTTTCTCTTTTCAGTACGAACTCCATACATGATGATTCAGTGGGGACCCAGAAGCGCCACCTTTTCTAGAAGTATGAACAGCCTTTTATTCAGGCCCCAGACTGTTTCTGTGACTATGTCCTGTGTTTCATCAAACCCTACCCCACCCAATTCTGCTTAAAGAGTAAGTTAAGGTGCAATGTGCTGGGTGGTTTTTTTTTTTTTTTTTTTTTTTTTTTTTTTTTTTTTTAATGTGGCCTAGCAGAGTAAAACAAGTTAAAGAGCTTTGGCTTAGTTGCAATCTTAGATTATCAGGCCTTAGCTGCACGCAACCAAATTTAGCAGTGAATAGAAACTTGACTCAGCCTGAGTCAAAGCTAGGGAAATTATTTTTGGGGAGAGAGCCTCTGAAGACATCAGCTAAGATTAGAGGTGCTGGTATTCAGAGAAATAGGACATTTTTAACCTGTTTTTCAATATGTCCAAAAGCCATGTTTTCGAGGAGATTTGTTACTGCTGACTGCAATAGTTATAAATCTGTCAGACTCCCAAGGAAAATATACATTTTTCTATTCAGCTGTAAAGCTGACAACTAGTTCACAGAGATTAATATATTCTGGCTTAGAAGAATATTTAGGAAATAAATATTGTATAATTATTCCCATTAACGCTAGTTTAAGACAAATAAATGGCCAAACTTTTCAAGTGTGTTGGGAAATTCTGATATTCAGAATTCAAATTTCAAGAAATGTGACTAGCCACTCTATAAAAGTCAGGCTCCTTTCTCAACTCTTGCATTAGACATCCAAAATCTTAAGCTACTTCTGCAACTTGAGTTTCTAAACCTAAACCTACTACAAGAGATCACATAAATGTACTCTTTGGTGCTCCAGACAAGTATCTGTGGCCAAGTGTGAAAAGCAAAAGGGCAATCAGAGTTCAGATTCATTACCTTTGAAGAGCCAGAGCTCTGAGTCAGCAGCACGGTAGCTGAAAGAATAACATATTTGCAGAGTTCCACTGACGAGAAACCTGGAAGTAAGATGGGGAAAATTTTGATTCTCATGGGAAAAAAATTTGGTAAACATCTCTTCATGCTTCACATTGATCACGATCCACCCACACAGACAAATCCAGCCTGTAGCCCTCTTTTTTAGTTCTTTTCCCTTATTTAGTAAGAAAACATATATACAAATGTAATCTTTTTCATTTTCTTGTGGCTGAAACCTCACTTAAGGGCTTCCAAAATGACACCACTGAAGAGCAGAGCCTAACCTCAATGTTTGTTGAGAAAACATAGGAAAGGCAGCACCTCCCTTGAGGAAAAGAGTAGAAGAAATAAGCAGTATTTCCAAGCAAGTAGACAAACAAAAATATACAAAGTAGCCACTACAAAGTTAGTGTACCTCATCTTATTTCTTCTGGATATTTAAGGTGAATAAAAGCCAAGCCAGAGACCCATGCAACTACTGGGAAATGGTCCAGGTATTTAGTCAATTTTTATGTGGCGTTTCACAATGCAAAGTTGCTAGGTGCAACAGTTCTTGATTTAAGTTCCTTAGCAATTGTATGTTGTTCCACATAAAATAGACACTGGTAGAAAACTTGCAGTTGCTTTTTGTTTTGGTATTTCTATTTTTAGATACATTAAATCTCTGTTTGGAGTGAGTAAAGGATTTTCTTTTTCTCTTTTTTTTTTCTTTTTTTTTTTTTTTTGTTTATTTTTTGTTATTGTTTTTAATTCAGGTTGCTTGAGAGACCTGGGATTTGCAGTATCTGTGCTGGAAGTTACACCGCTGTCATGCTTTTTCCAGTACTATCTATCTTGTGTGAGACAGCATCAAATCATCAATGAGGCTATCAAAAGGTGACAACAAAGAATACTCACACAATCTATTCCTATCCTAATGCTGAATAACCATTTTACAGAACCACTGGGGAATGGAGAAGAAATAGATTCAGTGCAAACTGATAGGTGCCAGAGAAATCATATCTCTTTATCAAGGCTGTGTTTAACTTATAATCCCCTTTTGCTAGAAAGGTCAGTTTAATTATGGGGGCCAGAGAGGGAATCTATTGTTGGTAGCCACGGCCCCATATTGACGGTTCCTCTATATGTCAGTGCATGAGCATTAACATTGCTCAGATAATCTTGCTGGCGAGCAAAGAAACAGCTATCATGTTACTTGAAAGAACTGAAGCTGTATTGTGCAGCAGTCATTAGTCTCCTCAAGTCTGCTCATAATGATGAATGCATCATTCTGCCTGCATGCAACTTGTGTAGCAAACAGCGGAGCCAAGTCTTTTCCAGTTCTGCTATCCTGTTTTAAAAAACACTGACATTTTCTTAAACAGACATAATTTACAATTTTAAGTAATACAACAGTGCCTTGGTGTGCAAGGGCCAGCAAGCAAACAAGACTCCTTTCACAAAGATTAAAAAAAAAACAGTCTCATGCTCATGCTCACTGAGGTCACTATGGCTTAAAGCTGGGGTGAAGGGGGGAGAGCTAGGGCATTTCTGTGACATATCTTTGGCTTTCAAACGTGTATAATGCTCCCACAGAAGAAACCTCAAGTGCAAGCAGAGTAAAAAGCAATACCTAATGCCCTGTGGGAACAAACCACAGCCTGTGTCCACACCAAGCTATTAAAGCACCGAGGCAGCAGTTTTGGGGTCTCTGTGTCTCTGCTATTTTCATTTATGGATTTTATTTTCAGTCTCCCTGAGTGTCCCCTGGCTGCAATGGGAGACCTCAGGAGTGCCCAGTTCTCTCAGCACCACACACTATCTGACCTAAGCACCCTGTGGGGCACCACTGCCAGTCCTACACCTGACAGCTTGTCAGCCCAAGAACAGGGGATCTCTGGAGGCTCTAGGAAAACAGGGTTATGTGAGTGGTACTAATGTCATGTGGCAGTGACGGGGTCAGTGTGGCACTATGAGGCATGGTCTTTAATTCCACTATCTTAGGGGCACGTGCCTAGCTCGGAAAGCATAAGTTAGTGTTCATGAACTGACCAGTGAAGTCCTGGTACATGATGAAGCATCAGCTAATGACACAAATTCTCTTTTGGTGGGCATTAAATGAAAAACACTCCCCTCCTTATGGCCCTGGCACAGCTGGGTCTCTTCACTGCTGTAGCACTGCCTGGAAAGCTCAATTCCTCTCAGTCGAGCGGCTGAGAACAAATCAGCAAGCACATGACCTTGTAGACCTCTGCGATAAAAATAATGCTGGACTTGTCAATGCTGAAATGCTATGGCACAGGTCTAGAGGAGATTAGGGTGACAGCCTGGAAATGGATGCACTTTTCTCCCTAGGTTTAGATAGAAACTGCCAGTAAAGGACTGTGAAGGTGACTTTTTATGCTGGAATTAGCTTCCTGCTGTCTGTTTTTCCATGTCTGGAAGACCACGGGTTCCCATCTGTAACATACACCCATAAGATCAATCTGTTTCTAGGACAGTAGTGCTTGCTGAGGGCATTAGTCTTCTGTTAGGGTGGCTTGTGAGGCACATCTTAGCAGAGGCATTTGTGGCTGCTTCTGGAGCCCACTCTTCTCTTCATGGCCCTCTCATTCACAGGTTACATGCTAGCCCAAGTGGATTATCAGACCACTGCAGGATCCAGCTGATGTGAAGCAGTTGAACGTCTATAGGATATGCATGATGAAGAGGAATGAAGGCTGGGGAGGTGTGCCTAAAAGGTCTATGCCAGAGGACTTGTGGGATACAAGTTGAAGATGTCTTTTGGCATCTGAACATACTTGTCTGGAGACACACTAAACTCTTAGACTGTGGATGCTCTACATCTTAGTTTGCCTTGCTAGTGAGCTCCTTAGGGTTAACCTACCAAAGCTGTTAATATATGGCCAGAGACTTCAAACTGTGCCTGATCTGCATTCAGCTAAAGTGAGTGATTTATCTTCCACTGATTTCAAACTCAGATTTTTAGATTCTGTTTGTTTGTTTTCATTAAGAAGTCAGTGGGATTTTTTTTTTTCTACAGATGATTCACTTTAATTATCAGTTCCCTCTTATCTTGCTCTTCCCTTTTACAGTATAATCATCAGAGTATATTCAAGCAGACCTACAGTTCTCAGTTTACAACAATATTATGGCTTTACAAGAACACATCATTATGAATAACAGCAGACTAATATCAGAGAGAAACAAACCATTCCATAAAAAAAACACTGCCTTATAAAAAAAGATTAAGAAGAACCTTTTCCTAAGGTTTATTGAGTTTGGGCTAATGACATGAGGCCCAGAATCCCAAATCCCTTAAAATATTGCGTCTCTATTCTGTTTGCATTTAAGATTGAAGTCAGCATCTTGCTGACTACACAATGAATACAGATCTTGACTGCATACCAACTGCAACACTGAAATTGTCAAATAAGCAATTAGAACAACTCTGTGAGGGCAAATTTTCTACAGAGACTCCCAGAGTAGCTAAAGTAAGAAACAGTACAGTAATACAGTCTGACAGTGTTTTCAAACATTTGAAAACAACTGGTATTGATATTCAAACATTTGAATTGTATTGATGATTCAAACCTTCTGTGTCACAATTTTAATGTTTGCTTAAATGTAGGAATTTTTTATATTATTGACTTTTAATGGACTTTGGATCATGGAAATACTCAAAAGTCAAAATTAACAGAGAGAAAATCCGAATTTGTTTACATTTTAGGTATCAAATGAGATCATGAATGTCCTAAGTAGAGTGCTAAAGGATACTTTTAGGAGATATTTCATGATGGAGAAGAAACAGAAAATACTATGAATCATATTTGAAAACCCTACCCCCATATTTTCAGAAAAAATATGAGAAGTTCAGGTAATTCAGATAATGGCTAGGTAAGAATGCAACTTTTGAGGTTTTATCTGAAACAAATTCAAGCTATGAAACTTTTCCAAATTATCTTAAACTGACTTACACACTTATACTCTCCACATATGGTCAGCCTTTTAGTTACAGAATGACAGAATGGTTAAGGTTGGAAGGGACCTCTAGAGATCATCTCGTCCAACCCCCTGCTCCATCAGGGACACCCAAAGCACGGGGCACAGGGCGGCATCCAGATGGGTATGGAAGATCTCCAGAGAAAGAGACTCCACAACCTCCCTGGGCAGGGCTCTGTCACCCTCACAGGAAAGAAGTTCTTCCTTGCATGGATGGAACTTCTGGTGATTCAACTTGTACCCATTAGGTTCATCAAACATGCCTTCCCCTTGGTGGACCCATGCTGACTACTCTTGATCACCTTCTTTTCCTTGACAAAAATGTCAAGGCCCAACACAAGCTCCAACACCTGACTTTCCAGTCATATGCTTTGCTGAAGAAGATGATTTGAACATATTTTTCTCACTCTCACTTCTGTCACTCTTCTGAAACTTCAACTCATGCCAATAAGATAACATGATCCACAGGGGAAATTGTATTTTGCTGTAGTCTATAGGCTAGAGAAAATTTGAAATCAAATCTGAAATTACAAAATTGGCAGAATATGAATTGACGGTAGTACTAACAAGAAGCTTCAGCCCAAAGTATGTATGCCTGATGAAAGCAGAATTCTATATCCTGTGGAAGCTTTTGAAGAATATTTAGAAGTAAAGCAAGTGGGAAAAACCCCTGTGTGCCAAATTTTGGCTGTTTTTTAAACACACATCAAGGAGAAGCCATAAAGCAGCCAGTTCCCTGTATCTTCTGCCAAGAGCAGCATTCCCTCTCCCTCATTTTTTTTTCTCCTTCTCCCTCAAAATGAATGAGATCGAGATCAAGGAAATTTTATCGGGTCCTTGAAGTAGTTCTTTAGTTTGCATGAATATCACACTCACATGAACATATGCACGCACACACACACACACAGAGCTTTAGGTGTAGCAGGGTTAACGTGTTCAAGTCCCTTTTGCTGCTGCCACCACTACCACCAAATTGCAAGCACAGGGCTATGGAGGTAGACAGTGGCACAAAGAGGTGACCAAGTGTGAGAGAGAATTTGGTAGCTAAATAAAAACCTTA